CTATCAGTTCCAAAATGGATAGATTATTCAGTTAGAAAGTCTCCATTTAATTTTTTTCTTATAAAATTGACATATTGTCCATTCTTACTCACAAGAATACATTTTGAATTTATATATTGTTAAGGAAATCTTGCTTAACCATCTGATCCACTCTTGATAGGAATATCTTTAGTTTTTATAAACTATTTATTGTTAGTATCTATTTCAAAAACTGTTATCTATTCTTTACCCTCTGGTGAGAATGTGAAAATATTATTATCAATAAAACATACTCTCCATCCCTATTATTCAACTTTAATCTTTTATATTACTTTCCATTCTAAATTCTATCCTGATTTTTCTATTATTAATATAACTTTATCATAATACAGTAGACTTATGTTGATTTAAAGATTAAATTAGTTTGGTTCTTCCTTTATTAAATTCAAATACTTTAATTAGTGAATTACATCCTGCTATTAATGTTGAACAATCTTTATCAATAGCTATAGCATTACAGTATTCACTTTGTTAAATTGAATATTCTTGGATTAGTTAATAATTGAATGGTTTCAGATTTTATGAATGATTAGATTAAATACTTTAGGATTATGGAATATTTTATTGATTAGCCAGTTATTATAACTACATATTTTTATCTTATAATTTTAAATCCATTTATTTCTGAATTTCTCTCTACTATTTTTCAAAGTCTAATCCCAAGTTTTATTTAATTCTTTCAATTTATTCCTTTTGTTCTTGTTTCAAAAATTCTTCCTTGATATTCATTTATTTGTTAACTTTAACTGGGATTATTAGTGAGATTTCTTAATAGAGTTATTAAGTAAATTTCGAATCATCTAATTTAAATCTTGGAAAATTTAGGATGGAAGAAATATCTACAGTTTATAAAGACCTTTGAGAATCAATATTCAATGAATCAGAAGTTTTATTAAGTAATTCATCTAATATATAATCTATATCGTTGAATGTCAACTATTACATTATTATCAATAAAATTACTTAGGATTAATTTTATACATCTTGAAAGTATTCTACTATTTTCTTTATGTGTTCATCCCTTTTATTTATTATTTATGTTGCCATTTGAAAAGTTTTAATTAAAATAATTAATGATGAACGATAGTTCTATATTTTCTTTTTATATTTCAAGAATACTATATAAATATAAGCAAATAATAGAAATAATAAAAGATACAATTATTTGATATTATAAATGGAGTTACTATAGGAGCACAGAAGTTGATGATCCTTATGAATACAAATTTAGTTTGATTGATTTTGAATTATTTGCAAATGGAAAACTTAATATTCTAACTGCATTTGATGGCATTATAATACTATAAATAGATGAATGGTTTGGATTAACTTTAATAGATAGGATAGAATTATTATATGATCCTTCTGACGGATCTATAGTAAAAGTAATTGGGGTTTTATTTACTAATAAGGAGGCTTAAATATATGAAAATAGAATTTTTAAGTCTTCATATTAATTAGACTTTACTCCAGTTTATACACAGTATTGAAAATATCATAAGAACTATTAATAATATAAAACAAGGGAAAAACATATTTAATCAAAATTTAAACTTCAGATTTAATTCACAAGGAAGTGCTTGAAGGAATTCAAGGTCTATTGATAAATTAATGCTTGTAAGAACTAATTTATATTACATAAATTGATGCCGATATATTGTTTTTATACAGTGGAAAGTTAAGATTTATATCAGGGGATTTGACTGCATCTAAATCAATATTAACTATAACAGCATAAGATTAATTAAATAACTCATGTTATGCAACAATTGTATATATGGAATTTATAATTCCTCAGATTCAAAATTTATAGCCTTTATCAGATTTAGAAGCTTCTGATGTATATTAGGATTATTCATTAATTAGTTCTTTTTAAATCCCAGTTTCTGAATACAATAATTTTAAAAATTAAATCAGGAGTCATCATTAATGTAGAATCAATATACTCTAAAACTCTGCCAGCTAAATCCTCTAAATATGTCAAATTAATTAGTTTAGATGATGATAATGACACAAGAATCGCCATCATATTTTAGGAAGCATCTACTAAAAATATTTTAACTTAATCTGTACGACTGATTAATATAATGATGGATATGTAAATTTATAATGCATCAATTATATTAAATTTCCAATAACTATTGATTTGGATAACTCAAATTTCTAATGTTTCTTTAAAAAGAAAATTTATACGTTTGATTGTTGAAAATTATTACACTGTTGAAATGTATTCAATTTCATAGAGTGATATTTCATATTAATATCAATTTGCCTATTATCCAGAATAATCAATGTTTATAAATCAATCAATCTTATTTCAAATAGATTATATGTTATAGTGGATAATTGGATATCTGGAATATTTAAAATAAAGAATATTATTCAATTACTATAGAAATCATAAGGGCATTAGAATTTAATGGAAGTTGGAAGGTTTAGAATATCATTTGAAATTCTAGATATCACCCAAGCATATTATTTATTATCAATAATGATAATATCATTATAGCAGATTATCACAAAGAACTGACAATTGATAAAGTTTTAACTTATAAAGAATCTACACTAGATTTAGTCATAAGTAAGGATTAATTCTTCGTAGTAATGCAAACAAACTCAAAAACTTAAATCATTGAATATGACTTTTTAAATTATATAATATCTTTTAAATGAAGGAACTACCTACATATCAACATAGAAGATGCTATTTAAGTTATTATACAAAATTAAAAATTCTTTAACATTGACAACTAGTCAAGATTCTGGAGTCTTATATATTGCAGCATAAGATTCAGACAATGAGGATTTATTAGTTATTTTGGCTTACAAACCTAGATAGCCTTTAAGAGATTCTTTAGTGAGAGTCTTGACCTCAAAGAAATAGACCTCTTTTATTTTTGATACCTAATTAGCTGCTGCTGGATTTAAGCAGTTGATCTTCTTTTAGAATGATGGTGTCAAACACAATATGGGATGGATTGATAAAAATTTTTACTATTAGATTATCCCTATTTATTAGACTAATTAATGGGTGAATAAATTCAGATTAAATTTAACAATGTGGAATCTAAAATTGAATCCAAGTGTAACATTGAGCCAAGCTATTGTTTTATATCAAACTAAAACTTAAATCAAAATTTTTAATAATACTTAAGATGTTTTAATTGATGAATGGAAAAAATCTGGATTTGCTCTAGTTATGAAAGGAACAATTGTAGACTATTTAATTAAATGTTAATAATGTGGTTATCGTAAAAACATTGACTTATTATAGCCATTAAGATTATAAGATTTATAGAATGTAGTTGATTATTTTGTACTATAAGACTAAATAAATTCAGATTAGTTTTAATATCTATAAATAATGAACATTTTTGTTAAAATTCTTTTACACACAAAGTATTCTGGTTTAGGTTAAGGAGGATATCCCTACTTTTGGCATTAACAGCAGAAGGAAAGCTTAGAATTTACTATTTTATTCTAGCTCTAATTTAGACCTTTTTATTATCTGATATGATAATTAAAAATGAAGGAGAAATAATTAATCAACAATTTACTGATTTTATTTTCATTTAAGATCCAACCTATTCAAGCTATACGGCTACTATTGATCTAATATCATGATTTTAGTTGTATATTTATTAGTTTAAAGCTTTTGATCTAGCTAACACATCATAAAAATCTTTTTACAATTCAATTTCTTTTTTTAAAAAAATAATATTGAATTTCTATTACTATAATATTAAGTTTTAGATTATGAATCAAAAGTATCTTATGTTTTAATTTTAAGACAAAGAAAATGTTGTGGAAATTAGATTTGATTGTTATTGTGGCCAGATCAACAAATTTTTTTCATTCTCATTTGTAGAAATTAATCCTATCATTATTCTAATTGACTAGGACAGGGTTGATAAGGTTAATGATAAAAGATTTGAGTTGATATTACTATGTAAATTGCGATGAGCATATAGATGAGATGATTTTTATTATTGCCATGAGCTAATTCTTTTATTCCCTATCTATTATTCTCATTCCATTCAAATGCATCTCATTCTCTTCTTTGAAACTTGAATATAAAATTAATTTTAATATGATTAAGCAGAAAATTGTGGGAACCTATTTCCAGTACGTCATCCTGATATAAAATTATCACATTTGTGTTATTCCAGTCTAATTTTAAGATCATATACTTTAAACAAAACATTCCTAAGCACCTGCTCTAACTGTTATATTTGGACACTATCTATTGCCTGACTTATCATTCAGAATTCGAAGATCTACAATATTTTTGCAAAATTTTACATAATACATGAATAAACTAAGAACTGTAGTAAGATTAAAATTAATTATGTTATATAATTCTTGTTTAATCTTATATTATAATATTTATTTACATTAACCATCAACATAAAAATAAAAGTAAAACATTCTCTTTAATATGCACTTATCTAATATTATCCTCATCAAATTCTTTTATATAAACTAAATATGATAATTGCAAACAATTCCTAAACTACATCAATTTACTAAATATATTAACACACCTTGTAATTCATCAAAACTTTTATTAAAAATTGATAAATATTCTTCAAAACTGTTATAGAACCTTTTAACAAATTTTTTAATTAAACTAGATTAAAATAGAAATTAACTTAAGATTTAATTTAATTCTCTAAAGAAATTAGCTTCACACTTTCTAATTTCTAAACTTAATAATAACATTATCGAAGAATTTTTTCAACATCTGTCCTAACCAAAATCATAATCATTTATTAAATAAATCTTAGAGATTTTTGAATCGTGTTTAGAAAATACCTTTTAATGAGAGGTGTTATTGATCTAAATTTAAGAATTATTAAGTTTAGAAAATCAAACAAATACAAGATAATTAATTCCCTAACGAACTTAGAATAAATTATAATAGTCTGATAACCAACACAATTTGCAAGCTCACACAAATCTACAGGAATTATTAAAATTTCGATGTCAGTTGTTGAATTTTTAATGGTTTGAACCAAGGATCTAATAATAAATAAAACGAAAAATGAGATTCTTGATATTATTGTAACAATAATTGATCTAATTTAAATTAATTGAAAATGTCCTTATAAATTGGGGAAATTATCATCCAGAAATAGAAACAAATAATAAAATCCATATTATATAAAAGGATCTCAAAGGCAAAGGAGATTATATAAAAAAAGAGTGGTTTCATAACATCTTCTCATAAAAAAATCAAGATGAGTATAATATCTATTGATAAAAATAAATAATGTATTTCAATCAATTAGATGTGTATACTATAGATTTTTCAATTCCTACCAAAGATAAAATAAGATATTAAAAAAATGCATTCTTTAAAATTTAAGCATTGGTTGTCTGTAATATATAATAGCAATTAATTCCTTTTAAAGCACCTTTAAATTTCCCAAAGATAACTATTTATTGAGTATTCTCTATAGATATAGACAAGCTACATTTTGGTTTACTTTAAATTGGATCCAAAAGACAGAAACAAAAATAACTCAGCTAAAAGTGTGTAGATGATTGACTAGAGAATTTTTCAATTCTTATTGATACTTATTAGATGTTAACTCCAAATGTTTGCTCCTAAATAAAGGCATGAATGACTAAAACCGACATCATATTAAAATATAATAATTAAATTTCTGATATTTTGAAGACCATTAAGTCAATATGCCATATATCTAATTGGATTGGTAGCTGTTTGAGTTACAGTTTATAAATTACCTATTGAAAAGTCATAACAATTAATTCAATCTGGAAATAACTAAGAAGTGTTTATACTACAAAGAATAAATTAATAGAATCAGATTTAAGTCTTCTGCCAAAAATTTTGATTACATCCTCTTCAATTTAAAGTTGTAGAGCTTAAAAGTAATTTTGACTTATATTATTGTTAAGATCATAGTTAAAAATTGAAATAGCGATGATGATGATCAAATTGTGTTATTCTGAATTCTTACATAATCCACATTTATAATGATCAGATGAAGCCCATCTCTATTCATTTTAGATTATATATATCACAAGATCCGCATAATTCTCAATATCGCATTTAGTGTAAGTTAAACCAATAGAGATACTGTATGCTAGAATCAACAAAGTATTTAAAAATGTCATTCCATCTGTTTCTGAAATTACTGATTCCATCTGTGTAATTGACTATTTACATAATTAGATAGCATAATAAATGTTTGAGCATAATTGTAAAAGATAAATCTTCCCATCTTCCAAATATAAATTCTTAATTTTAATCTAATTTAACCAAAGGAGATGCATAAGAAGCAATTTGATTAGCCGTTTAAGTAGTACATGTTTTATCTTCTAAAATTTAGGCTTTTAATTGTATTACATAAGTGGCAAATTCACTAAGTAAGAGAGCAGCAATAGTGATAGATTAATCATTTTTTGCTTCTGATAAGAGTTATAATAAGTAATAGCTACTGTTTATCTATGGATTCATATTAACTATTGACCATACAACTTGGGTGAAATCTCTCTTTCCAGCCACCAATTTATTGAGAATACTTCTTTAAAAATCTTAGCAAATAGTAATTTAATCACTATATGAACTGAGCTCAAATAAAGGATTTAGTTGAACTCAATTATACTTAAAACTTGTTAAAATAAACTAAATTATTGTGTCACTACAACCTGACTTAGTAATAAAATCAACTTTAAAGTCAATTTAAGAATTAATGTTGATGATATAATAAAAATTGAATAGATATGTATGGTGCATTATTTAATTCTATATAAAGTGTATTTCCTTGAACCTTTTGAGATCTATCCTAAACTTTGAGAAGTAATTTAAATGCTAAAGAGAAAGCTTTGGAAGAAGAAGCTTTTTTAGTAAAAAAATAAATGAATGTTTTATGTATAAATAAGAAGTGAATTAAGCTAAAAATTGCAGCAACTTAACAATTAGAGCAAAAAGAGTATAATTATGACTGATAGAATTTTGATGAATGGTTTTAAACTCTATTTGTTAGACAAGTTATACAGTTATAATATCACATGAAGCATAAAAAACCAGAGAATGTAGAACAAATGTTACATTACATTATGGATGACATAATTTGCATATTCATTCCATAATCACAATAACCAGCTTAACAAGGAGGCGTACCATTTAGTGCACTATTATCCATTCTGAAAGTTTGATTTTGATTACATGTTATACAATTTGTTGAGGTTAACAATCTTAACAAATTGCATAGCATTTCATATATATAGCAACTCCAAAATCAGAAAATGATTGTTGGTATTTACAAGTATTTAGTTGCTACATCATATTTCCTATTTACATTCGATGGATAACTTGTACATTAATTAGTATTACCAACACAAGTTTTACATTTATAAGAACATGGCTAACATTAACCATTTGTCCATCTTTACAATTATAAATTTTATTAAATAAATCATAAAATAAATTCTATTATAGAATTGTTCACAACTTAAACATTAATTACTCATAATTCTACAAGTTTTAAGTTAATGATCACAACTAGCTGAAGCTTATTACTAAATGTAGATAAAGCTCAAGCCCAGCAAACCTTATAATTTAAACTATTCTATATAATCATACTACAACTATGATCACATTTTACACATTCTCCTCCACTTCCATCATCGTAATATCACTCATCACAAAGGCATCAAAAATTTGTACTTTTTAAAGTCCTTTGATGAATGATGTTCCATTCCATACATTTTAAATTTAAAGTATCACATTTTCAGCAAGAATAATGACATATACTACAAACTTTAGCTCCTAATTCTAAATAACCTTAATCGCATTGACAAGTCTAAGCAACCAAGTCTAATTTTCTATTTGAATTCTACTGGACAGCTAATATATTATGTACTTGTGAATTAACAAGTTAAACATTTAAAATTATAAGGAATACAATCAAGTAATCCAAAAGCACGCTGATGAATAGTATCAATCTTAACATTTATTTTCTTTTGTCTATATCTACTCCCCAACATTTGCATTAATCATTTTAAAGTGAATACAAAATATAATCATATATGGAATAGCTAATTTATTAAGTCTTAGTTTCTGGAGTTTGAGTATATCCAAAATCTGCTAAAAGAATATAAATAAGCATAAGAAAATATTTCTAATTGATTACAAAAGATATCTCTAAAAGAAGAGGATTTAATAACATCTAAATATCATCAAATTTAGAATTTAAAGGATGAAGAAAACATTCATAAGTATTTGGAAATTGAATTATATCTGGGTGAAATATCTACTTCTAAATATTCATAATAATCTGTAATTACTAGAGTACTAGGAAATATCTTTCACCTAACATTTATTGTTGGTGGCAAGTGTATTATCAATTAAGATCTGATCAATATTTGTTTTATTTAAAGCCACAGATAACATATTCTTAAAATATTAATAAATTTGTTAAAGAGCACCGAAAAGTATTGGATTTATCATCTACACTCTTGTTGGCCATCTCTTGGGAAAAATAAATAAAGAATCAGTTAGTTTCAAAAGCATCATATTAATAATAGTAATCCTTCGCTGTTGGCTATACTACTTATCTGAGTATTTAATTTTTTTTTGAATTTTATTAAAAATAATAAATATTTTAATAGAAAGGAGAGAATAGGGTAAACCATGTCTAAAGGCAGAATAATTGAATTATAGTATAGTGTACTTTAGAAATTGTAATTATAAAAATATATATGTTCCATTTCCTTGTAAAGGGGCTTTAGATTCAAATGGTATTGTAAAAGCCTAAATTGAGAGCCTTCTTAATGCTAGAAATTGATTATTGGATAAGTAAGATCCCCTCAATAATTCTGGAAATTTGTATCGATTAAACTCTGAATCTTTTTGAATCTATTTTTAGATTAACAGGATTCCAGTTGAGTGAAATTAGTTAAACTTGGCAATTGATGATGAGAGAAAATTAAATTAACTAGAAAATACTTTAAAAAGTAAAATATCATAATTAAATATTCTAGAATACTTTTATAATATTGATAAAGGGAGCAAGCAAATTAGCTATTGATTTTGATACCGAAATTGATAAACGATGATGATAGGAGCTATTGAGAAATAACAATTAAAGCTTATTATTAATTGTATTAATTAAAAACATAATAATGATACTTAACGAGATGTAATCAATATCAGCAAGGTATAAAAAGATGCAATGAATCAGAAAGATGTTGAATTAAAGAATCTATGAAACATTTTATTAACAAAACAGTAAGTTTGATATGTTTAAGCTTAGTTTAAAAATTAAGGATTTTAAAAAAAGAAGAGATATCACTTTTAAGTTAGAATGGATTAAGACAATTATAGATACAACATACAAATTATGTTGAAAATGGTTAAATCATTTTGAAATTATTTCAATATTAATAAGATAATCATATTTAATCAACTTCTGTATTTAATTACATTTTTAAAGCCTAAAATCATATGAAATACAAATTTATCATAAATTAAAGTCAAGAGTTCCACCTAGATTACTTATGATAGTCAATTTTTGTGATTTCTTGGGATAAGTCACTAAACGATTAATTAATAAATAT